CCAGGACCTCGGCTGCCACCTTCAAGGTGGCCAGGGCCTGGGAGAGGGCATTGACCGAACGGGCCTCTTCCATGATGCGCTTCTGCTGGTTGTCGCTGAGGAGCTCCTGGCAGTGAGAATGGCAAGGATGTGACCCGGCGAGGGCTGAGACCACCACGACGTGACGCCCTCCCAGCCTGCTCGTGCCCCTGCTGCAGGAGAACTGGGTCCTGCCAGGTCTCCAAGCCAAGTTGAGTTGGTCTTGGGTCTTCCCACACATGGGCCTGGTCTCTGTCACAGGACATGAGGGGAGAACCTCAGGCTTGGATGGAGGAGACCAGTGACTCATTTCTTACCTGCGGCAGTTGTTCCCTGATTTTCCTCTTGGTTACCTCAAGGGTCCTCACGTTGTTGAGGGCAATGGATGGAGCTGTCTGGAAAGAGTTGGGGACAGACGGTTACAGACATGCCTGGCAGGACCTAAGAGGGGCCAGCAAAGAAGCTCAGCTGTGCAGACGCAGGTCCATTGCATGTCCCCGAGGGTTCTGCAGGAGGTGGCCGATGGCCTTCTGAGGCCCCTGTGGGGTTGTGGAGGTCAGGGGAAGTCTCTCATGGTTGGAGGAAGGCATCTCCATGAAGAACGATCTGGGGAGCTCACAGCCTCACCTCCGTCCCCAGCAAGGTAATGGAGAAAGTCCTCCTGGGAGCTCTTTCCAAGGACCAAAAGGGTCCCGGGAACAGCCAGCGGGGACTCATCTCCACCTTCAGGAGAGCACGCCCACCCCTGTTGCTGCAGGACACCCTGGTTCTAGTATCCTCAAGTCCCCTTTTCCCACGAGTTCCAGGCTTCATTTTCACCAAATGGAGACCACCAGCCCCAGCCAGAAGTGTGCTCCTCCACGGTGCTACAGAGTCCTGCAGAGACCCTGGGAGATGAAGTTCTCTGAACCAACTCCTTCACTCTCACAGACACCAGGTTGGCTTCTCCCTCACAAAAGACAAGGCTCTGGGTCCTCACATGACCTTTCAGGCCCTGATTTCGTGACCACAGAAGTGGTTTCTGGCCATGGCAGTCCTTTGAAACCCCGGGAGCAGACAGAGATGCACAGCAGGCATCTGCCAGTGCCTTCAGCTGACTCCAGAAAGGCGCGTAGAAGGGGCTGGAAACAGGCACCAACCTTGCTGCTGGCCTGGGAGAACCCAACTTGGCCACTGGTGAACTCACCTGAGCCTTAATGATGGGCTTCCCACTGATGAAGCGGTGAACCACTTGCCGCTGCAGCATCTCAAAGTCAAAGTAGGTCGTCTTCTTGCCGTCTTCGTCTATCTCATACTGCAGGTTGGTGAGTGCCATGGTCACCAGACTGTTCTTGGTTATGGCCAGCACAGAGGAGGGCTTCACCTCTTCTGCAGAGATGGACCTGGGAGAGGAAAGGTTGCTCTCTGTGGTCACAAGACCTCTCACTTCATCCTGCTCTGCTATCAAGGACCCACTTGGCTGAACACCAAGCCACCAGGACCTTGCAACGGCATCGTTTGGCCTCCACAGCTCCCCTTCAAGCCCCACACCAGCCCTGGAAACCCCTTACGGAGCCGTTATGGAGGGTGGAGGAGATGGACATGCCCTGGGGTGAGCAGCTTGAGACGTACCGTTGCCTCTCCCCGGTGACCCGTGCGGCCGTGTCGACGCAGCTGTTTTGCAGCTGTATGAGGAACGCGGTCACCAGGTGGCTGATGGATGGTTGGGTGGGGAGGAGGTGAACGATGGGAGTGTTGGTGTTGATGCTGTTCGGCGAGATGTCTGGCAGGATGGTGATGCCTGTAAAAGGGCAGAATGGTCTTCGGTCTGGTGTACGCATCCCAGGGGAAACTGAGATCCTGGAGGGGCTTCTAATTAGGTTTTGTGTTTTCAGAAGGGTTTTTAATTTGGTTTTAGCAGGTGCAAAGCGAGCAAGCTCAGCGATGTTGCTAGGAAGGGCAGGTGCAGAAAGAAGCTCAGCTTCAGAGCACCTCCAGAAGAAACGGCCAAGGATGGAGGGACTTGACATCCTGGGGATGACCACGTACCTGAACTGGATGGGTTCGTCTTAATGTTGCTCCAAACTTTCTGGATTGTCTCTATAGCTCTTCTGAATGACGAATGCTGGTCCTCTGTGGACACAGGGAGGAGAAACAGCTCCACCAAGGCATCCTCCCAGGAGACAAGTCAGGGCAAAAGATGTCTCCCAACAGATACAACACCGGAGGTGCCAGCCCACACCATTCTGCACATCGGCTCAAGCTGGGCTTCGAGCCTATGTGAGACCAAAAAGAGCTAAAAACCCATCTCACTTATCTTGCTTGCTCACAGCAGCAGAACCTCACCAAGCACCTAATGTCCCAGGAGAAAGATCTGTGTCAGTGCCTGTCCTAAATTCCTTCCCCTAAACTGCTCCCCCAGAGGCACCCCCAGCCTTGATGGGCTGCTCTTGTGTTGGCTGGGCTGGCTCCACCACCCAAACTGTGGCAGCAGCTGCTCAGCAGAGCATCTGGGTGCCGAGGAGTGTCTAAGGCCCACGTCCCAGGCATCGTGAAATTCCGGATCACACCTGAAAGTCCAGGCTGGTCCAGGAATTGCTGGACTGTGTAGTCCCCTCCGTGGCTGTTTTGGAAGAAGTGGATCAGGGCATTCTGCAGACGGAAGATGTCCGGCAGGTGTCGGACGTGTTGGATGTTCTCAAGCTGGAAGAGAAAATTCAGTGTGATTCAAGGGACAGGGATCCCATCTGGCAGCACGGGGTAACCCGGAGCAGGACCTTGTCTTGCTTAAGAAGCAAAGAAACACGAGGGGAGAAAAGTTACCCTGGTGCCCCACAGACACCAACTGGGCTGAACCTACTTGGTGCCTGCACATGTTTTCCAGGAGAGGAGATGTTCCTGCAGCAGGAGTTTCCTGACACAGGGAAACACTGAGGCAGTGGAGAGACCTGCCAGGAACCGGCAGCTCTCACGGGAGGTGCTGACAAGGCCAAGGCATTGCTGGGGCAGCAGTGACCCAACACACGCCTGTCAAAAGCGTCCTGAGGAGCACCAGTGACCAGGGGGGCTGGGAACAGAGCGGGGGGTGTCAGTTTGTGTGGAAGGGTGTGTCTTCAAGGCAGGGCGCGCCACTAGCCAGGAGGAGAGGCTTGAACTGCTTATAAGCCAGCAACCAGGCACCGTTCTGTGACCTGCTCAGGTCAAGGTTCTACTGAACCTCAAGGGGACAGGGCAGGTGCACGTCTGAGAGCTGAGGCTGCAGCTCCGGAAAAAAACCTTCTACCCCAGGGCAGGCCGATGTCTCCACCCAAGCGGAAGAGAGAGGCTGCAGTGTGGATCTCAGGCCGCAGGAAGTGCCTGGACCTTTCTCCTGGGGTGAGGACAGGCAACAGACCTGAATGTAAAAGGTGTGCCCAGGTGGAGGCCCTCCTGAAGGGGGCGGCTGAGCTGCAGGAGATGGGGAGAAGGCTGCGTAGCATCAGGGAGGCTGAGGAAGAGTCAGATAGCTGGTTCCAGGTGCAGCCTGCGGTAGAACTACAGACAAACAGCCAGAAGCTCCCTCACCAGCACCCACGGAAGGTAGGAACCCCAATAAAGCAGAAGAATGGAAGCTCGCAACAGCAGGGACCTGCAGGAGGAAAAGACTTCCTCCAAAGCCTGAAGTGCCCTTGCAGAATGATTTCACCGCTCTGCAGACCAACGAGGAGGGACCCATCACATCAGGGGAGACCCTGGAGCCAAGCGAGGCAGCCCAGTCTGCTCCAAGAGCGCAGCCAGGAAAAGGCAGCGGGTGACAGTCCTTGCTGCTCCTCAGACGGCTCCTCGCTCTGTCATTAGTGCCCACATGAAGCAGCCGTTGGGGATAACAGTCAGGGGTCTGGACAAAGCTTGGTAGCCTGTAAGTGAGATCCCTGCTACGAGCCCCCAGCAAGCAGCACATCCCTCTAGGGGCTGCACCGCTCAACAGATGGGTGCCCCCATCCCTCTCAGAAGAGAGTCACCTACTACTGTGGGGTTTGAACTAGATGATCTCTAAAATCCCTTCCAACCCAAAGCATTCCGTCATTCTCTGAATCTAAACCTTTGACAGGAGCTCCAGCAGAATGGGATATGGATTTCCAGTGCCTTCTCGATCTTCCAGCTGCAGCAAATGCATCAGCGTCTGGATGGTTGTCTTCTGTTCAGATCTCCACATGCAGGGCTGGTTGATCAACCCCTGCTTTGGCAGATGTTCCAAAGGGGGTTTCTGGCTGTAAATTATCTTCAGGAGGACGCTATGGGGGCCTTCATTCATCCTCTGCTTCTTGACAGAATTAAGGCTCTGCTCCAGTTCCTGCAAGAATCCAGGGGTTGTTAGGAGCCACCCCTTGTCACCCAAGCAGCCCCAGGGGATTCATGGTACAATGAAAAGCAACGAGGGCTCTGGAGAAGTGGGAGGCGTGGTGAGAACGTGTCACCAAAGGGACAAGAACAAAACTGCCCAGGGAGAAACTCACGGGTGATTTTCTCCAAGGGAAGAAAACCTACTGGTTTCCAAGGAGGGTCTCACTCAGAGCATAGAAAGCAATCAAGAAGGGAGCTCTCTGCAGGAGTAGAGCAGGAGGCCACTCCAGGATGAGGTCCCAGTTCAAAAAAGAGGGGACAAATCTCTTTTCTCCCATGTGAGAATGTCCTGAGCTCAGCAGATGTGTCTGGAGATGGGCACAAGCACCAGCCAAGCGCTGCTTTGGGTACAAGATACCTGCGAGCAGCAGCTGGGCCCAGGCATACCTGGAAAAAGGGCTGGGCCAGGGCTTTGAAGGAGCTTTCCCATTTGTCTCGGTCCTTTTTCTCAGGCAGGATGCTCAAGGCTACACTCTTATCTGTGGACAACAGAAGGGAATACGTGAACTTTTACCCTGTAGACCCTGGGGTCTGCCCAGAGCATGTTGGGTTTCTCAACAGTGAGGAGTAAGATGACGTAGAAATGAGAGGAACCAAGAGCAGAAGGGATGAGGACACAGATGCCTACTTAGAGCAAACTATCTGCCCATCCGCCCTCAAGCTGGTCTGGCTTGAGTGCTTCGGATGAGCTCACTGCCCCCATGGTCCTTCCTGTCTTCTCATCCTTTTCCCAGGATGGAGACTGTCCTGGCAAGGAGGAACCAATGTCACTGGTCCTCATTAAAACCCAAGCACCGCGATCCCAGAGCTTCCCAGCACCTCTCTACCTGCTGGGCTGTGGTTGCTCAGGTGCTGTAGGAAGAGATGGAAAAAAACCGTGTTACTGCTGAGTGCCTCCGCCAGGCACTCCACATCTTTCCGAAGGTGGCTCCAGAAGAACTCTTCCACGTCCTCTGGTTCCTTTTTCATCAGGTCTAGAATTGCCTGGAACACAGGTCAGGTTCCTCCATTAGGCTCTCAGGAAGGTCCCCTCCCAGGCTAGGCTGACCTCACGGCGCGGTGGTCACTCACCCGTTTGTCAGTGTAGATCCCCAGCAGGAGGGAAGAGTGGAGCAGAGCTCTCACCAGACTGACGCAGGCAGGCGACAGGCACCTCTCCACCTCATTTCTCCGTGAGAGAGGGCTCTTCAGGATGTACCCTTTCTCTGTTTTGTCCTTAGTGCTGCATTCAGAAAGAGCAATCACCCACCATGTCTTCTGCTAGGTGCCACCATGGGACCACCGCACACAGAGACCTTTGCTTTAGCCAACCACGGCATTTCCCCACGCCTCTGCAGGAGGGTGGACGCCCTCTGGGGCTGTGGGGCCAGGAGGGGTTACTTACACGTCGTCCTCAACGAAGCCTTTCGTAGGTGTGTGCCAAACTCCCCCAACAGTTGCACCACATTTACATTTCTTCTTTTCCGTGGGACGCCCACACTGCATTTGGACAGGCAAGGATGGAGTGAGAGAGAGGGTTGGAACCCAGCTGGGTGCTGAAGGCATCTGGCAAAAGCTGAGGGCACCCAGCAGCTTCCCCGTCCTCCACCCGTCTTTCTACATGGGGTCACTGCAACAGCCAGGGAGAGGCAGGAGGAGACGCAAACATCTCCAGACCAGCCAGGCTCTTCCTACAGCCGGCAGGACACATCTAAGCATCAGTTTTGGGAGGAGACCATCCAAGACCTGGTAGCATCTGCTTCACTTCACTGCTCCCGTGGGGAGACGCAAATCCCAGCTCCATTTAGCCTAGAGCCCCACTGGGGGATGAGCTCAGCTGGCTTGGAGAAGAATCCAACTGGCTTCTGAGCCTTGCAGCTGCTCTTGCAACTAAAGGACCATTGGACATGGAAAGTGGCATTGGAGTCCACATGAAGAGGGGACCAAGGCAGCAGGAGGAGTGTCTGTAGAGGTCACCCAGTAGAAAGAGCTGGCCCAAGAGGCCAAGATGTGTTTCAGGATAGTGCAAAGGGGATGGCATCTCTGGGAATCAGAAGACCTGAGAAGCTCAACCCAAGCCGGGCTTTTTCCCATGGCAGTGACCAAGACGCCATGAGAAGTGCAAGAAGACAGAGCTGCAAAGACGACCAGCCAGGAGGAAAGACTTACTTCGGTGACAATCCAGGGTAAGCCACACCGACAACCTGCGTGTGAAAGAGGATAGAGTTAGTCAGTCATCTCCCACCACAACCTCCACGATGGGAACACGGCCAGAAGCTCACCAAGAGGGTCACGGGCCTGGCTCCCACCTCCTGGTATCCAGCCCCAGCACGTGCCCCTCACACAGCTTGTCAAAAAGGTACCCAAATTTGATCCACCCAGGTGGAGATGAGAAGGATACAGATGGCTTTGAGGAGTCTTTAGTCCCTTTCCTCCATCCCCTGGATAATCTCGATCACTTGCTGGTGGTAGGCCTACATGTACAGAAGTGGTGAGATTCCCCCAACACTTACGCCAAACCTTTTCTGTGTCACCAATTTTCCAGTTCTTATCAAAAAGCAGGTCTCCAGGCATGGTGGGAAGGTAGGACCCCTGGGAAAGGAAACATGATAGAAAGTGAGGCATGGGATAACCATCTTCCTCGCTTGTTTTCCGCCTATTTGAGGAACAGTTCTTCTAATGCAAGGGAAAAGGCCTACAAGGACACTGGGGAAGGACTGTTTACAAGGCTGTGTAGTGAGAGGAGGAGGTGCAATGGTTTTAAACTAGAGCAGGTTAGATTTGGATTAGACATTAGGAAGTTCTTCACTAGGAACGTGACACTGGCACAGGTTGCCCGGGGAAGCTGTGGAAGCCTCATCCCTGGCAGTGTTCAAGGCCAGGCTGGATGAGGCTTTGAATCAACCCAGTCCAGGGGGAGGTGTCCCTGCCCATGGCTGGGGGTTGGAATGAGATGGGCTTTAAGGTCCCTTCCAAGTCAAACCATTCTGTGATTGTATGGATGGTCGCAGTTACTTCTCAGCCCAAGGACCGAGAAGAGGAGCAATGCAAAGGAACAAGCTGACCAAAGCAAAGACTGTCTGACAGGACACGTTGCGCCAGGATGTGGGGTGGAGAGCTGCGCACCTCAGCCTTGAGACTCACCTTCACCACATCAGGCTTGAAGCAGATGTTCCTAAAGAGGTGAGTGATGTGGCTCGGGGACAAGGCCAGGGTGAGCGCAGTGTGGAAGACAACCTCCAGCAGGCCTGGGTCTTCACTGTTACCCAAAGCATCCACGATCTTCGTCAGTTTGTCCTCCGGCAGGTCATCTGGGACGAATCGCAGCCGGAGGATGTTCTCCATTTGTCCTATGACAGACTACAAAAGTTGAACAAAACAGGCGTAAGGGAAGGCAACCAGCAGCGGCACCTCCCTGCGAGGGGGATTCTGGCTTCACTGCTGAGCTTCAGTCTCCGCGCAGAGTCCCATTTGTGTCCCTCAGCAGCAGGAGCTGCCACAGCCCTCCATCAACACAGAAACCTGTTTCCAGGAGGTTCCAGATCAATCATCAGTTTCAGACAAACCAACGGTTCCAGATCAACCCAACAGTTTCAGACCTACCATGGTTCCAGATCAAATGACAGTCCTGACCAAAAACTCTGGAAGCCTCCTGTTAGACACACAACAGATACTCACAGTCAAGCACTCATTTTCTTGGTTTTTCAGTTGTTTAGAATCTTGGGTTTTTAGCTGTTTTTGTGCTTTATCCAGCAGGGAGAAGAACATCCAGGTTGTATTTGACCAGGCACCTCTGTCCTGAAAAACAGAGATGCACGTTGTCATCCTAAGAAGCAAGTGGAAGGGCATGAGAAGGATGTTGACACAAGGGCCTGTCGCTTTCTTCGAGCAGAACAGAACCCCGCGAGTCAATTTTACAGGGTTCGATCCTGGCAAATCCCACTCCCCTCAGCTCTGCTTTGACACAAGACTCTCAAGAAACAACCCACCTGTGAAATGTCTACCCCTTGGGGTAAAATCCACTTCTCCACTTTGAGGATCTTACACAAAGGCATGATCCCACAAATGTCACAGAGATTTCTCATGAGGAACACTTGAGGCCATGGAGTCGGAGCCTTCTCAACCAGCTTCTTCATTGCGTTCACCAGGTCGTGCTCCTTCTCATTCCTCTTGGCAGCAGGTGTGCTGGGATCTGGAAAGGAGGTTTCTCATTATGCCCAGTCCCAGGTGGTGGCACATCACACGTGTCCTCCACCAGTGCAGCCCCTACAACTGTTGCAGTAGCATCTAGGGTGCAGCAGGATCTTCTCCCCACAGGCTGAAGCATGGCTTCAAGCCAAAGTACACAGGATCCCTTAATATGAGAAATAATAGCTGGGAGAGCACAGTGAATCTGGGGAATGAAGAGCTGGAAAGTTGGTCCAAACCAACTTCAGTTGCCATAAAACCAGTACTTTTCCAGCAAAAAGCTCCAAGGCTGGACTTTCTGGGGGCTTTTGCAAGACCTGCTTAGAGGTCAGGGCAGTTCCCATGCTACGCCAAGCAAAAGAACTCACTGGAAAGCATCTGTCTGGCCAGCACGGTGGCCACGTGGCTGATGGAGAGCCGGAGCTGGGCGATGAACTGGAGGGTGTTAATTCTTGAGACCTCAAGCTTGCAGAACGCAGACAGGTCTGCCGTGGAGAGGCAGCTTTCAGCAAGCTGGCTGACATCTTCAGAAGAAGCATACATAAAATCCTGCTCCAGAGAGAGACAATTTTTAAGAGTCTAAGGGTGAGCTTCAACTGAGCAGCTCCTCCTCCTCCTTCCTTGGGCCTTCTCCTCATCTTTAAGGTGAGCTCTGCCTCTGGTGAGCTCTCCATGAAAAGATGTGGTGGGGGGAAGATTAATGGATGTTTATCTGGGGGGGTGGCTCCAAGTTACGGTGTTTGTTGGGACTCTCAGCACATCCCAAAAGGCACTCACCTCCAGGCAGTGCACCACCATGAAGTAGAAATGGTTCATGTTACTCTGGCTGGGTATAATCTTCTCCATCTGGGACAGGTATTCTCCCAAGTGAACCTTGCCATCGCTGAACCTAGGGCAGAGAAGGACACGGAGCATCAGCACCCGTGTAGCCAAGGGGTTCCGCGGTGGGGTTTGGGAGCAGCCTTGGGGCTGACCCGCATAGCAGCAGCAGCTTCAGGAGGCAGGACTGGATGGCAGGACTGGTGCCTATGCATTCTTCAAAGGGTGACAACTTGCTTTCTGGCTTGTACACTACGAAGGAAGGATGACATCTGTTATTTATCTTCCATGAGCATGAGGCCAGCCCTGGGGAGGGTGGAATCAAGCTCTTTTACCCCTTTTCCCTGCCTGATGCTCAGGGTTGGGCTTGCAAGTCATAAACTGTATCAGTCGCTGAACGATTTCAGCAGACGGTGCCTCTTTATCGACCAAAATGTACGTGGTGAGGAACTCCATGAAAAAGGAATTGCATTTCCTCCTGAATTTGTTGTGACAGGCAACAGCTTCCCTGGGGGGAAGAAGAAAATCAAGACTCATGATCCACCTCCAACCAAGGCAAGAAACAATGACCCTCTCTTTGCAGAGCACAGGACCCAAACCAGGAAGATGAGGCACCAGTATCTCCCATCCCAACTTTCAACATGGAGACACTAGAGACAGGCAGCACTGGGATACCTCGTGACCTCGGAAGCCGTGGGCGTGTAATCCTCCGGCAACACTTTCTTGCAGATCTTACACTGCTTGTTCACCCACTCCAAGATGCAGCGAGTGCAGAAGATGTGGCCGCAGGGCAGCTCTGCCGGGTCAGTGATCTCCCGCAGGCAGTTCTTGCACTCCTTCACGCCCTTCCTGAGGAACACCACCGAAAGCAGGGGCAGATCAGCACTGCTGCCAGGTGTGAGGAGGGCTGGAGCTCGGTTCCTGCTTAATGTGCGCCCTGGTGTGGGGATGAAGCTGGATGGGGCCTTTTGCTTAGTCTCACTGCTCACTGGAGGACTGGGGTGACCCACCACCACTTCAAGAACCAGCAGCTTCCTGAGGACCATCCCATCTTGGACACAAAACGATCCGTGGTGAGAACGGCTGGGTGAGAGGGGATGGAGTGCCTGGGTGTTCAGGGCAGCTGGTTTCTTTGGCACCACACCTAAGAGAAGTTCCTCCAGAGATGATTCCCCTCCTCCAAGACAGGCTCTCACCCCTTGGCTCCATCAGTGTGGCCCCTAATGCTGACGTATTTCCCCCACCCTTTACAAACATCGCACTGATTGAGAAGGGCCCCAAAGTCAACTTTTTTTAGCTCAGACTTACACCAGATACACAACGTCGGCCTTCTCGTTGCATATCTTCAGCACTTTTGTCACCAAATCAAAAGTCTTCTCTGGCTCAAATCCCGGCGTTTTATAGAGGCGCTGCAAAAGACAAACACGTGGCACGAGTTCAGCAGAAACACCTCTCTGGTACGTGGAAGACAAACATTTCAGGACGTCTGTGCTGCAGGGACAGCAGAATCCATGTAGACCTCTGCAGGTAAGCAACCTGGATTGACTCTTTAAATAATCAATGAAGCCTTCCTTGATTCCAAATCCTCATTTTAGATTCCAAAGAGTGTTTGTCTCTTGGACACTGTTTCCAGTCTTTCCCCATTCCTAAGCCCTCCCTACATCTGGCACCCCAAGTTTCCTGGAAGAGAAGAGCCCTCCCAAGCTCCCCAGCCATGAGCTGCCCCAGGTAACACCTACCTTCCAGAGGAAGATGAACTGCTTCACCACCATCTTGAGGAGTTTCTCCTCTATTTGTTTCTCGTTGTGCAGCAGGTGGTCAATCAACATGTAGACAATGTTGGTGCAGGCCCAGCGATGTCTGTAAAACACCCCCCGCAAAGGATACCCGTTAAGTTGGACCCCAGACCTCATGAAATCCCTTCCCACTGGTATTTCTGTGACTCATCCAGGGAGCATGTGGTCGCCTGAGGACACAAAGCTTTCTGAGATGGCATTACAGGGAGAAAGACATGGCACGGTCCTGTCTACACTGCTTGTTTCAATGAGCCTTGGGCCAAGCTTAAGCTGCCAGTCCATTTCTGGCTGTTGTGTTTGGAGACTCCAGAAAACTTTTTGGCACCATCAAGCATGCACGGAGAAAGCCCACCAGAGCTAAGCCATTTGATCATGGTGAGACATCCACCACTGGTTTCTGGAGCCCTCTGCCACCACAAGGAAGGAGCAGGAAGGAGTGGACAGTTGGAGGGCTTGTGACTCTGGCTCCCCAAGAGGACCGTGGCTTCAGTTCTCCTGACCTTCAGATGCCAAGAAGTTTGCTTGTGTTGTTGTCAACAGAGAGTGCCTCAACTTACAACACAGCATCCAGGAGTTTCTTCTTGTTCTGGTAGAACTGAAGCTGGTAGTTGTCCAGACTGATCCACTGCATCCAGGGCTTAATGGACTTGACGCTTTTGAGCCAGGCTACGCAGGCATCAAAGGGCAGAAGTCCATTTTCAGAGGGTTCCACTTTCTTCAGGAGAATGTTCAAGGCATCGAGAGTGACAAACTGAAATGACGTGTGCAAAGAGAGAGAAAAAGAGTCTGGGTAAAGAACGGACCTCGCTGGTGGGTGGCACAGAGGGAAGGGATACCACGTCTGGCTTCTGGAGTGGTTGACCGGGTTAAGTTAGAAAGAAATGGATTTTTACGAGTGAAGTTCTGGTATCTGTAAACGAGGAAGGGCTTTAATGAGCCCAACCATGCCTTGGAGAGAGAAGGAACTTGGACTCACCATGGGAAGTCCTCTAAACACTCTGCCTTGCTGCTCCAAGCAATACGCACCTTAGGAGGGATGCAGACGTCTCGACGGAGACGTGGCAAGGAGATGGAGGCCACCACTGAAGTGTGACACAACAAATCCCAGCCACCTCTAGGCTCAGAGTGTCTAAGGGAACTTCAATGTGATACCCAGAGAAACACAAGGATGTCTTACATAGCATGCAACTGCGTGAAGGACGTTGTGATGGCCATCATGTTCAGATGCTGCAGGAGAAGGGTTAGAGGGCATTTGCTTACCATTTCGGGGGGGTTCTCCTCATACATCGCCTGCAGCTCGCTGATGACATTGTCATTGCTTTTGGCTATGTCAACAAAGAGCTGGTAATCGTCTTGGAGGTAGAAATATTCCATGTGAAGCCAAATAGGGGAAAAGCCCATTTTTCCCCCACCCACGGAGGAGCAGAGTTGTTGTGCGCTGGCAAGGAAAACTTTGGAGAGAATCTGCAGGTAAAATAAAAGGCGTCATTTCTGCTGAAAGCAAACAGCAAGGGAACTAAGGTGGGATGCTCAGCCCTGTCCCATATGAAGTTTCTTCATTAGAAATAGCTCGCCAGGTGGAATTAAGACCAACTGTTGAAAACAGCTGAGTAGCCACAGAGCAGCCCAAGGGAGGGCTTATCAAAACATCCGATTTGGCCAGGAAGGACAGGACTAGGGCCAAAGGCAACATCAGCTGAAGACAGTGCTCCAGTTAACCCTCCTCACCTCGTAGAGAGAGTGATCTTGTCCAGGAAAAGCCATCCTGAGAAAGTCATTGACGTAATAGGGCAGCACGTCTGGATCTGGCATCAAGACGTTCTCCATGAAGGTTTGGTAGAACGTGGCCACTTCCTCCGTCGGCTTTTCGGGCTTGTCTAGAAGGGACAGTGAAAAGTGTTATGGCCACTGAGTGGAAAATGGGAGATCCTCATTAAGACTGAGACAGACGTGTGGCCAAGTGGAAGGCCACAGGTGAAGGGGCACAATGTCTCAATGGGAAGAGGAGATAGAACAGAGATGCACGATGCAGTTCTGGGTCATTCAAGCGAGGAACACAGCTGCCATCATTGCTAAAGGACATGGATTTTTGGGCAGCTTTGTTGAGCTAAAGCTTCCCCTGGAAAGTCTGATGTTACCTTTCAAATGATAGACCTTCTTCCATACGTCGTCTAGGTAGGCTTTCAAAACCCAGCTGAATGGGAACTGGCAGGAGAGGGAGATGTTGGGGTCTTCGGTCATTGATAACGTGGAAATCTTAGCCTCTGCTGCCCTTGAATTTAAACAATGCAGAAAGAAGGATTAAATTGTGCAACAAGACTGCGGGTGTCCAGGGATGAACCACCTCAGAGGAGCTCCCCTCTCCCACTGGTGTCCGTTTGCTTTAAAGGTGTTCAGAAACCTGAGAAAGTCGGGGAAAATAGGGCAAGAGCAGGGAAGGAGTCAGTTTTGCAGACAGCCTAAAAGAATGGGGAAGTTTTGGTGCCAGCAGCTTGACACCCAGGACCTGCCACGGCTAGGTTATAAACACCTGCACCTCAAGCACGAGCTACCGTGTCACTACGAACACCAGCTTTGACTCTCCCAAGGAGAACCTCCTTACTGCACATTTACACCCTGTCTCTTACTTGCTGGTGTGTTTAATTTTTAGAAATGTTTCATCTTGGAACATCCGGAGCCACAGTTCTGCCAGCGGAGAGCCTTGAGAGACGTGATCCAAGTTGTTGTTGGCATCCACCACAGCAAGGATTTGGGCAAAGCTGTCCACCACGAGGTCTTCCAGGTGCATCCAGAGTGCTTGCCTAAAAATGAGGTGACACAGCTTGTTGCATCGCTCCCCTGCCTCCCACCAAGAATCCCTCCTCTGCCCAGGGAACAGCATGGGTCTGGCAGACCCACAAGTCAACCAAAACACCGCGAGCACTTCTGAAGATGACAAATGTGGACCTCCAGGCTTGAAACTAACTGTTCTTGTCTATCTCACAGTCGACCAATGTTGCTGGCTACCAGAAATGCGCTTCCAAAAGAAGTTTCCTCCAAATCAACAGTACTCTAAATTAATTATTTTATTTTGAGATTGACTATGACTGTTCAGCAAGCCCCTGCCACTTTCTAGGCTGGTAAAGTCCCCACATACTCACCCACTTCCTGGTCAAGTCTCGGTCTTTGAGCAACAGGCTTCACACTTGATGCAGAGTGGTTTTAGGAACAGAATTACTTGCAAGAAGGTGGCCCCCAGCAAGCACTACCTGAACGATGTGTCCTCCAGGATGAATTCGGTAGAGAGCGCCCTGCGGAAAATCCATCCTCTCGGCTCTGAGATCAGTTTCTCTCGATCTTGTAGGAGGTAACAAATTCTCTTCTTCAGGATGGTCATGAAGCGGCTGGAAACTAATCACAAAACAGCACTGGTTAAAACCCTCCTGGCACTCATCTCCAATAGGAGACTCCATCAAAAACCTGCAAAGGATTTTGGGTGCCACAGTTTTCCACTCAAAAATCACATCCAGTTTTTGTTGTTTTTCTTTTTTAATCAGTCTTATGCAAAAATCAACTTCCATCGGCACGTGACACCTGCCTGGGGTCATCTACCACTTTGTGGTTTAGTACAGATTCTGACCTTGCCCTCTGTCTCTTGGGTCCTTCTCCACCCACGATGGCTTTGAGGGACACCAGAACCGGCTCTTAATCCGTTTGTTGTCTTATTCCAGCCACACAGCTTGCAACATGCAAGAAGGAGCCCCTTCTAGTTCTCTCTACTCACACGTACCACTAGTCTCAGCATGGAAAAGCAAGTTATGAAGGATCTTGATTCTCTCCATTGATCGCTTGCTGTTGTCCTTCTTGTCCTCCAGCTTGATCAGAGCCTTCTGGATGCTCCCTTTGATCATTGCATCCATGTTGAGGAACTGTGGCTGGAAAAGACTGGAGGTCAGTTGGCTGCTTGATGCTACTTCATTCCCATTTGCCTGGGGACGCTTGTCCTGGGACATCACCTTCTCCAGAACTTAGCACAGTGAGCTCCAAGGTCTGTACCCATCTCACCATCCCAACAAACCCTGGTTAAGTCAGTCCCCGGGGTGTGGAGGACTGCTGACATCCCTGAGGGATCCTGCTTTGCTGGGGGTGACAAAAGGCTCCTGGTCTTGTGCCCGTTGCTCACAGGGGAGCTGGAAGACCACCACCCTACTTCAACCTCAGAATGTGACCCAGGAAGACCTGCAGCTATTCTTTCCTGTGAGAAGGTACCAGCCCAGGCAAGGACCTTCAAAAGCAGATCCCAAAATGCCTGTTGGTAGCCAGGCTGGTTCTTGCACAATGCCAAGCAACTAAAATGAGGAGAAGAAAAGAGAAAAAAATCGTACATTTTTGTCTGGGTAAAGACCTGACTCGATGAGGCTTTCCAGGTCAGCAGAATCCTCTGGGGAACCTGAAATCACAATCAACCACAAGACTCAGCTGTCAAAAACCCCAACAAGAGATTCTTCCATCCACAGGAGGTGCCATGAGTGCCTTGACAACCAACAAGCAGAAACAAAGCAGCGCTGAGGTGGCAGCCACACAACTGCTTGGCATCAGCACCTTGATGACACGAGACCCTCAGGCTTGGGGAGCACTTGGCTGGACACAGCAAGTGCTCCTGGGACCTACAGCCTGGGACCTGCTTGATCCAGGTGCATTCTTATCCACGGGTGGGACGTTGGAGGATGGGGTAGTGGGTTTCTGGAGGGGACAGCAGTGGGGAGACAGTGAATTTATGGTGAGAGACTTCTTACCTGCTGGGAGCTGCTGCAGGGAGCTGCTTGTGAAAATCTCAGCAACGCTCATTTTGGAAAGCTGGCCGAGATTGGCCTTAAAGTTCTCCGGGGGCGTCAGGTCATCCAAGTGAACAGATCTCCATTCACCTGGGAAGGCAAGAGGACGGGTCAGTCCACGCACTCTCTTCTGGAGCATCAGCCGTTTGGAAAACGGGTGAGACTGGCTGCTCAGATTTATCAGCCAAGCAGGACTGGAAAACAGCGAGAGATGGGAGATCCACCGCGTCACGTGTCTTCTCTGCACGTCTTCCCCTCCCACTGTTTTTCCACTCAAGGAGCAAGCATAACCTTACCGCTGTCAAAAGCCAGGTAGCTGCACCCTCCCAAGACCCGCGGGACTTTAGTGATCAGCACGATGTGCAACAGGTGGGGGCTGGCCGACCTCCTTTGCTCGTCTGTGATGCAGTACCTGGAAGCACCACCAGAAGGTCAGAGCTGGTTCGTCCCAGACTCCTTTGACCACAAGTCCTCCCTCTCTGAGCCCTCCCCACCAAAGGCTGCAGCCATCTGAACCTGCTTTCTTGAGTGGATGCCACACCAAGAAAACATTCCTCCTGGCCAGTGCTGGCACAACCTGGTACAACCGCAGGGACAAATGAGGACACAGAGTCCAGAGTGTCCAGAGCACAGGTCGAGCCTTAGGAGGGAAAAAAGGCCAAAAGGCAGCAGAGGCTTGAAAAGAGAGAAAAATGAACAGAGGAAGAAAGAAAGTAAGAGGAGGAAGGAAGAAAGGTAGAGGAAGAAGGAGAGGTGAGAGAGGTGAGAGAGGTGAGACAAAAGAGGAAAGGAGTAGAGTGAAGGAATGAGGAGGAAGGGTAAGGAGGGAGGAAGGAGGAACAAGGAGAAGGAAGGAAGGTGGCAGGAGGAAGGAAGAAGGAGGAGGGAAGGAAGCAGGAGGCGGAAGGAAAGATCAAGGTGGTAGAAGAAAGGAGGTAGAAGGAAGGACGAGAAAGGGAGGAGGACAGAGGAGGAAGGATGATGAAGGACGACTGTGGAGGATGACTAAGGATGGCAGATGCTGGGGAAGAAAGAAGGATGAATCAAGGATGCAGGAAGGACACTCACTTGGCACAGGCCAGGAGCCTCTTGCTGCTCTGTGGCTCATCGAAATGAAACTGAGCAAGGAGCAATCTCTCCTCTTGCGGCTCTCTGAAGAAATTCCTGCCATGAAATGACCTCTTTAAGCTTCCTCCTAGGAAGGTCTCACCCCACCTCACTGTTGTGAGAAGTGGAAATCACCCGCAAAGTTAAAGAAAGGCAATTCCAGAGCCCACCTGAGTTCCTGGCGGAAAGCGTGTTCTGTGTCAAACTGGCTTAGGAAGAGGCAGTGGATTGTCTTTGGGAGAATGGATGACTTCCTCAGCACTTTTAAATCCTTCTGGGTCAGCAGTCTGGCATGGGTGGAAACCTGCAGTGAAAAAGCAAACGAAAATTGTCGTCCTGCTGCCTTAAACAGTTGGGATCCTCCAGGACATCTCCATTGATGTTCAGAGCTCATCTACTGGCAACTGGAAAGTGGCTCGAGCATCTCAGCCTGAGCCAGAGCTGAGCAGACCTGTCTGCCTCCCAGGGAAGAGCAGAGTCTACCCTGGCTGCAGATGACCACAGAAGCGAAGAGAGTGGACATAAGCCCATCGTCATCCTGGCCTAGCCAAGGTCACGGGGCCACCATGCTCACCTGGAGAACAAGCAGCACCCTCGGGTGCTTTGCAGCCAAACACAAATACCTGCAGGCACAGCCCGGAGGTGCTCCCTTTCTTCTTCTGCTGGTTCAGCATCTCACACAAGAGGCTGGCCAGGGTGTTGTGCTTCTGCTTGATGAAATACAGGTCCTGGATCTGCTCAGCATTCTCCAGCGCGGAGTACTTCAGGCGCAGGATGGAGTCAGGAGTGGCACACTCCACCAGCTTGCTGGTGGCAGCGAAGAAGACTGGATCTCCGTAACGTCCGAGGTGGATGTGCTGGGTGACGTCCAGCACAACGGCAGCGGACGTGTCCTCACTGAAGCCAATGAAGACATCGTGTTCCTTGGGAGCGAGCCCGTGGGACCAGTCCCTGAAATTATCAGGCTTCTCCATGTAGACAAAATGCCTGGCCCATGTCTCCAGGTCGAACTTCAGGTCTTTCTTTTTCCCATCGACGATGGTGCTCATGTCCAAGCAATGCTTCTCCAGGCGGCTCAGCAGAGCCGGGGGGAACTGTTCGTAAACCACTTGCTTCTCCTCTATAACGATCAGCCGGAATTCCTTCTTCACGCGGCTCTTCACCCTGTGAGTGCCAAGGCCCAGGTCAACGTAGTAATTGCCCCCCAGGCTGATGAAGCATTGGTTGAGGACATCGTAAAGGCTCTCATAAAGGTTCTGTATGTTGAGGAGGACCACGGGCCTGCCTATCTCCATGCAGATTTTCACCCTGTTCACGGAGCGGCACACCTGGGAATAATCCTGGTCCCGTGGGAATCCAGAGCCAAATATGACGTCACAGTTGGCCGTGTCTATAAGCTGCGTCAGCTGGATGATCTGAAAGGCGGCGTTGTTGGTTGTCAGCAACAGGAGGTAACGAGATGTCAAACTGGTTTTCTGTGTGTCCATGTTTTCCTCCAGCAGAGTGATGCAGCTGGCTTCCATCTGGTTGGGCAGACGTACATCACTGATGCACTGATGGAAGAGTTCCAGAGGATTGATATCGCTGAAACCTCCAAAGTTTCTCTGAATGGCCTTTAGGAGGAACTCCTCTCGAGACCTGCACTTCATGTCCCGTGTGTAGGAGACAAACATCTTAATTAAGCCATAGAAGTCGCGAAGCCCAAAGAATTCGGTTTTCTGTTTTTCCAGCACTTTGCAGTAGAAGTTTGCCAGAATGGGGAACAAATCTTCGATTCTGTCAAGGTGAGGTTGGTCAGCACAGATGCTTTTGGCAGTCTTCACCAGCTCTTCCCTGCTAGGCTCGGTCCGAAGGACGAGAAGGCCCCTGTTCATTTTGGCAGGGTCCAAGGCCCAGTTGGAGATGCCCACAAAGCCAACTTTCTTGTAATCCTCTGGTTTCTCGTCGTCAATGCATCCGTCTTCCAGGAGTGGATGCAGCGTCTTCAGCGGCATATCGGGTGAGTCTTCTGCAAGACCGATCTCATCCAGCAGAACCACGTGTACGAACTCATCGCGGTTCTGGCCCTCCTGGAGCTGAGCGCATTGTCGGAACGTGGAGATGATGCCTTCTGGCTTGGAATGGGGGCTGCACTGGAAGCAGACCAGCTGGACCACTTTGCACCTTCTGAACAACGGCCTTCGGGATGACATATAGCCCATGGCATTTGCCACGATGGTTTTGGATAGGGATTTGGAGCTTCCCGGCTTCCCAACCAGAAAGAGCGGCACCTGGAGGTCCAGGCAGACAACCATCATGAAGACGTTCTCCCTCAGAGCGTTGTTGCGGGCTGTCTCCTCAGGAATGGAGAGGTTATCAAGAAACACCTCCTGGCACAACTCAATCTCTTGCTGTAGCCAGGACGCCTGGACCGAGAAGCATTTTGCAACCTCTTCCAGGTACTCCTGGCGGCTCTCCAGAGACACGTAGTAGCAGGCCCCTACCGAAAGAACCAAAGCCCTTTGCGCGTGGTTTAAGGTTTGCACCTCACACTCCTTCTTCTGATCAATCTCGCTGAAAAGCAGGTCTCTTAAGTCGTAAAACCAGAGCACTATTTTCATGCAGCGCTCTATATCCCGGAGGCTGGCAACTCTGCATTCGTCCTTCCTCTCTCTCAGGAACTTCTGGGAGGCCGATATGACATTGGTGAAGACATCCAGGTTTTCCATGGGGATCTTGGTCCCCACGGTGGACTTTACAATCTCCCTGATATACAGGCTTTGCGTCTTCTCGTTCAGCTCCCCAAAGTCCCAGACCAGAGGCAATAAACTGGGAGGAAGGGGCTGCACCCGATACACCAACTGCCGCAAAGGAATGTAACCCAGCTTCTCCGGGGTGTCCTCACTCCGGACGCGGTATCCCAAGCCAGCTTTCTCCAGTTTCTCAATGGTGTCCTTGGTGTGTCTTTTGTAAGGGTTGCAAGCAGCCACCACTTTTAAGCGGTCAGTGGAAATCCGTTTTCCGTTGACGCTGTGGTCACACAGCACTTCTTTGATCGCAAAGATGGCCTCTGAGGTGTTGGCTTCATCGAAGAAGAGCACCGTGTCTACGTTGTGCTTTTTTTCGTTGGCATGTGCCAGCTCCACAGCCTGCCTCACCTTCTCCTGGATGGTTTTGGGGGTGGTGCCGCCATGAACCCGCACCACCAGCATATTCTGAATTTCCCTGCCCGCCCTTTGCAGGTTGCACATGAACTGCACCAGCTTCGTCTTCCCGCAGCCTGTTTCACCCATGATGGTCACAGGGATGCCACACTGGAACCGCAGGTGAATGGCCACCATCTTCATGGTGTTGTCCAGAGTCAACTGGTACGAAGTATCTGGATCTGCTGGGCATTTCACACCAAAGACTCTGCAGAGGGCCTCCAACTGCTCGGTTCGGGATAAGCTTTCAAATTTCCTATTGAAAGGAACCTTTTGCAGTGCCAAGGCCCTGTATAAATGCCTGCTCATAACCGCCTCCTCCAAAACAGCCTGGGAATAAGCATCAATAGCATCAAGATTGTGGTTGACATGGAACCCCAGAAACTCCATGGAATCATCGTCAGCGTGGAAGATTACGTAAGGGTGAGACTCCTGCTCCCACTTGCGTCTTAGCTGGTACTCTCTCAAAACACTGTCCGTCTCCTTCTGCTCTTCCCTCGGCACGCTTTCATCCGACATGTTGAGGGAGGGCATGGCAAAGTCCTTGGACATGGCGATCATGAACTTGATGACGAATGCTTTGAAGCCACACAACTCTTTTATGACCACCCGACTGCAGAAGACCGATTTCTCACACTTTCTTAACTGGAAGTTCAAGAAGTGTGTGAAGTTGCTGACCTCGGTCCAGGAGGGGTTGCTTCTCCCACAGAACTCCACCAAGCACTCCAGGCATTCTTTCTCCGTCCCTTCGATCTTTCCAGGGACAAAAGTAAAGCAGTCAAGGTTTTCCTTTTGTTTGTATCTGCGGAGGTATTGGTAGGCTCTTTGGAAAATGTCGTTACTTAGCTTGCTCCGGTCAAACTGTTCCTTCCTCAGTTCCGCAGAAGAGACAGAGGTGGGATCTCCCAGCAAGTCAAGCACTCGCAGCGGCGATACACACTCCACGGTAGGAAAAAGATCCAGGAACTTTTCTTCCATTTCAGTGGACATCTAAAAGCAGGAAGACACAAATCAGCATCAGGACCGTTCTCCAGCCTCCCACATTTGCCTACACCACAAAAACTCCTTTCCTTATTTCCCCCCATCACAAATGGTTCCGCATGCTGGGAGAAAACGTGGAAGCACCAGGATTTCTCCAAGCCTTCATGTGAAGTGTCTACAAGCAGGAAGGTCTGTCTTGCCTAGCATCCTGTCTTTGGTTGGGTGAGACTGTTGTCTTCCACACTTTATCCTGGCACACTGCTTCCTTTTGGAGATGGAGCGGCCTGAACTCAGTCAATATTCAAGGTGCGGTAGGGAACCACAGGTGGTTGATCAACCACTAGTGTCTGTGGGGTGCATTTCTCACCTTCGTTAACTCTGAAACACCGCTCAGGTGCAAATCGGTTTTAAAAACATTTGTGAGGTTCAAGTTACTGCAAAACTGAGATGAAAAAGCTCCCTTTTTCCTCCAAAACTCAGTGCCAGGCCTGATATTTCACTTTGAGTAGAGACCTGTTTGACCTGGTTGCTTCTCTGTAGGTGAGACATTGCCCCACTGCAGAGACAGACTCTAAATTCTGCATCGCTCTGGTGGAGACACCAGAATTCAGGAGGTTTTCTCATGCTCAGCCTTAACAGTTCCTCCAGCCCAAGCAGAGACCCCCCCCAAATACCTCTTGCTTCTTTGTACTGCTGACACCTTTCCCTTTGGCCAAATACTCAATCAAGTAAAGGTGACAGGGTTTGCCCTTCCAGACCAAGCCGTCGGGCCTCTGGATGTGCCGCAGGATGCACAGGTCAATCAGCAGCCGGTAGAGACCCTTTGATACCTGGCAGGGCAAAAAAACCAAATTAAAGTCGATGCAAAAACACGCTCACTGCTCTGATTTGAGTTTGGACGTGAGCGTCCACCTCCTTCTCTCCCTCCCTGTGTGTAGGATCTTCTCTTGTTTCACCATCACTTCTTGTTCACTTTAAGATCCAAACACTCACCACTGGAGACACATCGATGTGGAAGATGCTGGGCTGAATGTCGGGCACGGATTCTGCGACGGAGAAGAGTTCCTCCACGAAGAACTGGAAATCGATGTCTGACTCCAGCAGCCTGATGGTTTTATGAAGCAGTAGCGAACCACCCAGCTGGGCACGGACCTTTCTGGTGATATTGTCCACAAAGAGAGACTTCCCTAAGGAATGGAAGAGACAGACGTGGATCAATCTACCCTCCTGCACTTGCACGTGACCCAGAACAAGGAAACCTCTCCCCAAGAGCACGGTGCGCCACCTTGCCTCCTTGGTTTGAGGTACAACACAGAGTATGACTCCCCCAAAACTTACCCATTCCTTCTCGCTCCGAAAAGACAAACTTCACATTCTGCTGCTGATCGGGCTCTTCAAAGGCTTGAGCGACGGGTGCTGTCCCGCTCGGCACTTGGAGATGCATCTTCAGGTAGGTCTGGATTTCTGTCTTGGAGTAGCACGGGAAGGTCACCTTGTAGGCATCAAAGGCCGTGATAACATAAGAGTTGTGAGCTTTGGCATTGCAGAAGATGATGAATCTGTAGTTGGGGATGCTGGAAAATTGCACCAGGCGGAAGAAGTGGGACTCGAGTTGTTTGGAAACTTTATAAACTAATTTATCGGCACCCAGCAAGCAGTAGATCTTTTGGTCTTGGGAACCCGGGGAAAGAGCTCTCCTGACAAGCAGCTCCACTTCCTCCTCCTCCGTGTCGGGCGTGCACACCAGGACCTCGTCGTAGGACGGGAGAGGTGCTGTCTCAGTGTGTCGGTAGACAAATAACATGTTGGGTAGCATTTCCTCTTCCTTACACATGACAAGGATTGGTTTCCCCATTTCAAAGCTTACGGGTAAACTTCTCTCGATGTGCCTGCTTTCTAGAGCGGCCAAGTGCTTCAGCGTCTCCCCAAAAACATCCAAGCCTATGTATTTATCAGACACTAGGCCAGCAAATTTCTTACAGTAGGCATCCCAGAGCAGATTCACCTTGTCGTAAATAGATGGCAAACTCTCAAACGAGGCAGTCACCTCATTACGCGCCAGGGTGCTGAAGGAAACCTGGTCAACTTCTCTGTTCCGGGTCTTAAATTTCCGGCTCTTCTGCAGGAAGGCTTCTCTCTTCTCCTCGTATAACTTGCTGAGCTCTTCCACCAACTCCTTGTTGTCGCCCTCCTCAAAGGCGAAATCCATGAGCATCTGCTCTGTGATAGGAGAGTTGGACAGGCAGCTCTGCAAGGCTGCCTGTGCCACCGACTTGTCGTAGCCTGATTCGGCCAAGCTGTTGATGAGCTGGGGAAAATGAATGACGTAGTTGTGACACATATCC